GAGAAGAGTGGAAATTGGAAACAAAGTCAATGAAGTATTCCAGTACATGTTAAGAACAGAATTTGGCATTGATGCTGTTATCAATGTAATGGAAGAAGACATGAAGGAAGGAGCCTGAGTAAGACTGGAATAATTAATGTTCCAAAGAAAGATCATCTCACCCTAAAATGTTAATTCTGTTTTCCTTCACAGAAGCTGCCTGACCAGTACTCTTTGTACCTAACATTACATCAGAAGTGTTCATCTGATGTTCTGATGATGGTCACAGATTGAAATTTGAACTGTTTTTTCTCTCCACAGTTGCTGCTAGACTTGCTGCGCATTTTCACCATTTGCTGTTTTTATTTCTTTATTTTTCAGCACCTGCAATAGTTTCCTTTTGTCTCACCACAACTCAGAATTGGTTGACTTCATACTTAAGGTATCTGCAAGATTTCAAAATCTACATTCCACATCTGTCTCCCATTCACAAATACCATATTTGCTAAGGCCACTCATCAGATGCACTTTGACACTGATGACACCAGTCAGACACATAAAGGCCTTACCTTTTCTTCAGTGACTGGATTTCCAGGGAGAACTGAATGCAATAAGATGCCATCAGATGATCTGCCAACATTCACTAAATGGAACAAATTCCATTCCCTCAATATGCAGACTGCTTAGGCTTAAACTTACCTTTTCTTGGCTAAGTCCTCCTTGTCATCAGCTCTCATTGCAACACAGAATTTAAAAGCTGAACCTGATGTTTCTGTAGCAAGTAATGGAAAACTACATATAGCAGCTCCATATGTTCAAATGGAAAAGTAAGTCTTCAAAGACATGTTGTTATGTGGAAGGAGGTTTTTGGTCAGGGGAGGGCACATTTTATGGTGGCTTTTTGGCAGGAGTTTTTTCCTTATGGAGTATAGACATTCTGATTGTTCACCTTACATTTTGCAGTCCCCCTCAAAACTCCTTAATGATGCGTTATGTTAACCTCCTTGGGAAGGCTTCTGTGCCACCCTGTGCGAGGACATAACATTCAGCTTCAATGTTAAGGGTGTGAGGGCTCAGGCATTCTTTCAATTAAACTGAGGGATTGCTCTGTCTTTTATGATAGATTATATACTCAAAGAGCTGAAACATCAGAGGGCATATCTACTATCCATATAGCCTTGCTCCTACAGATAATTAACAGGAGGAAAGAGACAGTGGAGATAAGATCTTCAGAAAATCCAGCAAGACCAGCAACCTAAAGTAGCTGCCTTCCAACTTTCAGAGGAAGAAGCAGCAAAATAAGATCCACCAAAGAGGCACAGAGGAATGATGAGAACCAGGGTTTATAGATTTCACTGCTGTTATGTGCAAATACTGGAGCAGCAAGCCAGAGAAAATAAAGGATCGCCTGATCCATCATCACAAAGCTAAGAAAAGCTGAACAAGTGTTTGCTTTCACAAGCACTAGCTATCAAAACCATCCCAGTGATCACAGGGTCACAGCTGCCCTTAACTTTTATGCTAGAACCTCATAGAAGGGAGCTACTGATTCCTCTGTGTCATCTCCCAATCTTCCACTCTCACGTATATTTGGAATGTCATTGATGCCATTTTCACAAGAGCCTACCTCCTCATTATCTTCATCCTTGAAGAGAGTCAAACTATTACGGCATTAGAATTCTCCACTATCATTGGCTTCCCATAGTGCAAGATTTATCAACTGTACCCATGTTGGTTTGAGAGCACCTTAATACCAGCCCATTTGAAGAACAAGACAGGATTCTACTCATTTAATATTGAATGAATTTGTGATCATCAAAGCCACATTTTGGAAATCATTGGCAGATATCCTAGGATCTGTCTTGACTTATACATTCTGGAGCATTCACAGATGCCTATTTCTTTCCAAGGTCTACAGCCCACACAGTGGTAGCTGCTGGGGCACCAGGCTACCCTTCATAACTTGGCTTATAATACCTGTGTAAAATGAATGCAGAATTAGGCTACAATGTTACTTATAGTTCCTCCAGGGCCAGAGTGGAACAGATTATAGGCTTACTGAGGAGAGGTTTTCAATGACTGGACTGCTCTGATTTCAGTATAGCCCAGACAAGGTGTCCTGTATCACTGACTGCATTATCTGTGCCCTACAGAATTTTCACAAACAAAATTTGAATGTCCCTGATGCATCAAAAATGGCTGTGCAAGATTAAGGTAAAGGATAAGGTGAAGATGAAGATCAGAATTTTGACTAGGGACCTTGTACAAGAAGAGGACAGAACAATCTTTCAGAGAGCCTGACAGTGCAGAGACAACCTTATTACCAGCCATTTCCTAGTTATGGGTTAGTTTATCCCATAATGAGACATAAGGAAGGATTGAGTCTGTTGGAAGTGAATATAAGAGCAGTTAGTGATCACACATGAGCAGACAAGATGGTGTGATGACCCTAGTGAGTGATCAGAGGTGCAGAGGACAGAAAGGGTTAGTAGTCATAGAGGATGGAGTGGATTTTGGCCCTTGAGTGAAAAAGAGGTGTGTGACAGAACATAGAACAGAACAGCACAAGAACAGGCCCTTTCACTGATATGTGTTCCAATATCATGCTATTCTAAACTAATCCCTCCTGCCTCAATATGGTCCATACCCCTTTATTCTCTGCCTGTTCATGTGTCTGTCTAAATGCCTCTTAAACTGATACTGAGGGTTGTGCAATTGCTGGAGTGAATTGTGAAGTAGGAGAGAGAAAATGGATGCAATTACCCAATCTTCTTCACCACAGGATATCATTGGCCATATTGCTGCACTGCTGGCATCTCTTTTATTGGTGAAGACAGAATTGATCGAGGCTGCTATCTTTGTCCAGAGTGGCTGGTTCTGGTGGATAGCCTTCTATTATGGTCAGCTGGGAAGGGACAGTTCCTGGTTTGGGATGTCTGTAGTGATGTAAGTTGAGTCTTAAAAATGATGCCAGAGCTTAGAGCTTTGTAAACCAGAGGATCCCAGCATTGGCAATTTCATCATGCCCACCACACAATTTCCTGAATAAGGGATCAAAAATTTATTTTGCCTGAATAGTGAGATGAGAGGTAATCGTCTCAGGAAATAGTGGAAAAAGTCATAAAATTTTCTTGCCACTATTTTTTAAAATTCAAATGGAAAAAAAATCTGCCTATAGTTACAAATACCCAAGTGAATCTCTTGCACAATGTTAAAGGCTTTTTCTTCTACTTCCTATTATTTCCATATGCTTGTACATCAGTGGCTTCAGCAGCACTGTATTAGGTGCTCATTCCCTTGCTCTGACATTGAGTGGATGCCCAATGAGTCTAAGGACTACTGAGATACTCAACTTTTATAAATGCATAAAGGTCCGAGCATGCACCACAAACATTGGACGCTGTCCTGTTCCGCGAGATGTACACTGAGACAAATACCAATCATGCCTGGAGGACCATTAACACAGTGAAATATATTCTTAGATCTGCCCAAAATTGTTAGTCTTCCTGCACATGGACAAAAGAAAAATACTACAGATGCTGGAAATCTGAACTGAAAACAGAAAATAATAGAGAAATTTGGCAAGAAGAGTCTTCGGGCTCAAAACATTAACTCTGTTTCTCTTTTCAATGCATAACGTTGACCTCAACTGTGTGTTACAGACTGACACATTCCAAAGTTTAGAACCATATACAGAGGGATACACTGAAGCATGGGCAGCAACTGCAGAGATGGAAAAGTCACCGAGTTCTTTCAGCACAGTTCCTGAAGAGTCGGAAACTGTGATACCCCTCATGCTATGTTCCCCACAAAGAATTCATGGTGTAAATTTTTAAAAATCAAGACAATTTAGAGTAAAACATGTTGCACTACCTGTAATTTGAAATGTTTTGTCCTCAGGCTGCATACCTAATGAGAAATGCTAAACATGAAGACTATTACAATTGTACACGTCGAATTTGCTAGAAAATCCTGTGACATTCAAATTCAAATGTCATGTAATTTTTTTTGTTTTTACAAATTTTATAAATAAGGTATATTTTTGGGGAAGAACATCATGCTGAGGCTGATAAGGCAGTAAGTAATAGCACACTATTTGTACTCTGATTAGGTGAGATGTATTAAACTTAACCCCATTTTATTTTCTTCCTCAATGTAAGACATTTTGAGACATTTTCCTGTATGTGAGGAGCAGTATACACTTGCAAAGCTTTAACTGTAATGCTCTTCATTAACATTTAATTTCAACACCTGTCTTGGTAAACAAAATGATTTGCATGGTTAGTAAACCAAGCACTAATGGCCGAGATTTTTCATGAACGTTTAGCTTAAAAAAAATTACAATTGTAAAGAGTTTGTTTACAATGAGTGGTGCATAGAGTGAGTTCACAATACAATTTCTACTCTTCCTTTACTTGTAAACACTATAACTGACATTTTGGTATTTTAAAGAAAACTTGCATTTATATAGCACCTTTCACAACCTCTAGCCATTTGAAATCACTCTACAGACAATGAAATATTGTAATGTGGGAACTGTGGAAACCAAACATCAAGCTTCCATCAACAGCAATATGGTCATGACTAGATGATATGTTTCTGTGATGTTGGTTGAGAACTAAATATTGACCAGGTCACTAGAGCTAAATATGATGCACTTCTTCAAATCAGTATGTCATTTTATTATTAGTTGAGAGAGTAGATAGATTTTTTTTTATGAAAGACAACAGCATAACACCACCTGAGCATTACGCTGGAGTACCGGCTTTAATTTTCTGCTCATTACTCTGAAATTGAACCCACCACTTTACTTATGAGTGAGAGTGTTATCAACTGATTCATTGCTATTTTCTTCGTTAATTACTCTTGAGGGTAGATGGAAATCATTCACTACTCCTTAGAGATGGGAAAAATTGGATCATTAATCATAATTGTTGAGGGAGGGAGAGGGAAGAGTTACCTATGTAACTGTTTCCTGTTTTGATTACATTTTTACATTGCAACTTCAATTTTATTTTAAGCAATGGCTGGAGAGAACCCCTGGGCTGGAACCAGATGGATTTGATTTTTGGGGCAAACTTAAAATCAACATTGAAAGCGGACTGAAGGAAGAATTTGCAAGTATCCAGGTAACAATCACTATCAAATTAAAATCAATATAGAGCAGCAATATGTATTATGCAACATGAGCTTGTAATTAAAACAGAATATTTTTTAGAAAAGCACTCCCCATAACTACACAGAGAACTTTATATTGATTGCATTGCCTGTAATTTGAAATGCTTTGTCCTCAGGCTGCATACCTAATGTGAAATGCTAAAGATGGAGACTATTTCAATTGTACACGTTGAATTTGCTAGAAAATCCTGTGACATTCAAATTCAAATGTCATGTAATTTTTTTGTTTTTACAATGTTTATGAATAAGGTATATTTTTGGGGAAGAACATCAAAATTTAACTCCCTCCCTAACAGCAAATGGGTGTAGTTACACCACATGGACTGTAGCATTTGAAGAAGACAGCTCACCACCATCTGCATAGCAATTAGAAAGAGGAATAACTGTTGGCTTAGCCAGCAACGCCACATCCCAAAAAAGGAATTCATAAAATGTACACTGAAATACAAATGAAACTGTGGGAAGATACTAATTATAATGCAAATAAAAGGGAATTTGTGGTCAGTTATGTTCGGGATATGGTCAATAATGAAGCATAACAATTTTCATTATGAACAGATTACTGTTTAATGTTTTCTTCTGACTCCATGATTTTGCATGTTAAATCTTGCATCAGAAAGTATTCAGTCAAATTATATTCGCAGATAGAAAGAGAGAAATAACTTTAGAAAGTATCAAGTGTAAATAATTTTCAAATGATAAACTGCTGTACGATCTTTTTGTTTTACAACAGTCAAAGCCAGCATTTGAAGGGAAGGAAGATATGTTGTGGGAGCATAACAAACACAAAGAAGTACTCACATCACTGTTCGATGAAAGACGCCATGAGCATCTGCTGAGTAAAGGTAGGAACAAAATTGTAGAATGGAAAAGGAGAATTGTACAATTTTGGGCTCCATGACCACAGAGATGCAATACAAGTAGTCAATCATTCATTGGGAATTTTCAGATAGTTTATTAAGTTTGTTAAGTAACAGCAATTTAGATACGACGTATTGGTTAACTAGAAATAAGTATAAGACCCATGAAAATTGGGGATACTTGATTGACTTCAAAGGACAAATGGGCAGTTGGAACGAAGTGAGTTGATTTTATTATTGCGAAGGCATCATCCTCTAGCTGAAGAGTTTAGGAACTCTTCTCTGGATCTCCCGTCAATCTCTTCTGGTTCATGTTCCATCTGAAGAAGACAGTTCCCTGATGAAGACTGTGCCCTACAAGAAGTGTCCTTTGACTTTGAGCACTTGCTGCTTTATTCATTTTTTGAAGCTGACAATCTAAGCTCTGTCAATCTCTTGCCTGAATACTTTTTTGCCAATGAGCACAGGACAATTACAATATAAGAATAATGATTGCCTCCTCGCACTCCTTACCCACCTCCATCACAAAGTCAGCATTCATTTTACCTAAGAACAAACTGTTTTCTTTCTTCCTAAACAACTAGAGATTACAGGTATCAGTCGCCTGGTAGCAGCCATTGCATGAGGTTTCATGCTATACGGGAAATACAAGAAAACATCAGTTTTGAAAGGACCACAATTTCTAACACTGTGATCTCCTACCATGAGGTGATTTTAAGCCTTCTTGAAAAAAAAATTGGGCAGTTACCGCCTTGGAGCAATTAGGGGCTAATCTGTCAATATTTTCACTGTAGATGTCAAAGATACAGAGATGTGTAGGCTAGGTGGGTTCGCCATGATAAATACTGGATTACAAGGATAGGTTGGGAGTGCTAGGTGTAGGGGGTGGTGCCTGGTTTATGGTTCATCAGCTCCCTGGTTCTGACACTGGGCTCATGTAGTGGAATGTGGTTTGGTGGAAAACACAGGAGACAGCTGCTTCAGTGGCAAAGAATACAGTGAGTGGTTGTTACCTAATGGCTGATAGAGAGTGTGTGTGTGAGAAAGAGAGAAAGAGATTACTGGCTAACCCAAAGTCCTACCCCACTTCACTTCCTTACGGATGCCCTTTACCGTTTGGCCCTAAACCCCACCTTCCCCTATCTTAGACTAGCCAAGCTGGGTTAGAGGGTCTCGATGAGCTTAGGCTCAGCACTGGAGTGGAACGCAATTTAGATTTGCTCTTTTCCATAGCCTCTTGCTATAGCTGGGGCTCTTTGGAGCGCTGCGAGTGCTGATGACTTTCAGTCTGATGGTGTCTGCTAATGTGGTTGGGTATGTTGGACCTGATGGTGAGCACCTTGGGTTTCTTTCCTTTCTTGGTGGTCCTTATGAGAGGGTTGTTGTCCTGGATGGTGGTGGATGTTGCTGGTGTTGGCCCGGTTGGTATCTTATGGATCTGGATGCTTTCGGTTGCCTCCAGATGTCGAGTGGAGGTTCCTGGTTGGTTGATAGTGTTCAGTGGTTGTGAGCGTTGCTCTCGGTATGGAGGGTTTGTTGAATCCTTGACTCAGAGGCGTCTGCAGGAACTTTTCTCTCGATCGGTAAGTCTGACTGATCTCCTTTCCCTTCTTCATGGCTTTGGATCAAGGACTCCTTCGTGTGTGGGGCCTGCTTCTGGTTTGGACTCTTGAACTCCTCTCATGAACTGCTCACACCAGGAGCGCACAGAGCCACCTCAGAGCACACACCTAGTTGGAATCAGAGCATGTTGCTGGTATCACAGTCACACTGCTGGGATTATAGCTCTCAGTTATGCCAACGGCAGGCCCCTTTATCTCCCACCGAATCTGGTTTTGGCTGCTGAGCTATTGTTTCTCCTTTCTGGGCTGAATGAGCTTCCTGATCACTAGAGGAGGTGTGAATGGCGTTTTGATTAAGGTGAATGGTTTCAATGGTTTGGAATGTCCAGTATTTTCCTTGGATGAATATTTGTTAAGTTTTGAATAGTATTGTGAATATTCTTACATCCAAAGGTGAAACAGGTTTACATGTAGAACAATCGTGTGGAATGTTCGGTATTTGTGTTCCTGAGCACTGGTTGGAAATTGAATGGCTTTGTACCTCTACGGGCTCCAGAAGGTCTGAAGTTGTTTGTTTCCTCCAGTCTGGGTTCCATTGTTTTAAGCTGGTGCGTGAATGGGGGTCTTCCTTTTAGTTTTGCAAGCTAACCCCTGTTCCAGATATCTGCCCCTGGGCTTGCATATTACCCAGTCTGTCCCAACCAGCCTTTTCCTGGTTCAGTTGAGGCCTGTGGTTTCTCGAGTCCAGAAGTTGCATGCATTTTAGGCCCAGTGTAATTTCCACAAATTTACATCTTCAGAAGGTTTTTATCCAGGGTATATCCATAAATTGATGGGGATTTTGCCCCACCTTACACTAGGTGAGGGCAGGACGCTCTTCAAAGGGTTAATGTGGACATGATGGGCCAAATGGCCTCTTTCCACACTGTAAGGATTCTATGAATGCCCCAATAATAATAGGGATCCTCAATGGTCATCCATGAATTGTTGTCATGTATTTATCGGCTGTTAGTGGGTTGACAAGGCTGAGAGTGAAGTAGACCAGTCAGAGAGGGTGAGGTTGACAGCCGAGTGGAGCTGTCAGAGATTGAAGTGGAGCAGACAGAGAGGACTGCCTGTAACTAGCCTTGTAATTATTCTTGTAATTAACTTCTAACACTTGATATTAATTAGAATCCAGAGTCACTTTTCCCAAATTGCAAGAGTCTGGGTATTCAATCACTCATGTGACCAAAGTTCTTCATGACATTCATAGAATCAGAGAATCCCTATAGTTTGGCCCATCGAGTCCACACCAACCCTCTGAAGAACATCCCACCTAGATCCACATCCCTACTCTACCCCTATAACCCTGCATTTCCTATGGCTAATCCACCTCACCTGCACATCCCTGGACAATAAGGGTAATTTAGCATGGCCAAGCCTCCTAACCTGTGTATCTTTGGACTGTGGGAGGAAATCGGAGTACCCAGAAGAAACCCACGCAGACACAGGCAGAAAACTTCCTGTAAGATGGTGGTGGAGTAGGGCTTCTGAGCCCAGGGCTTGTCTGCTCTGTCCGCTTTTCTTTTCATGTATTTTCTTTTTTATTCTCTCTTCACTTGTTTTTTTCTCTTTTATTTTACTTACCTCTTGTTTGAAAACATGGTATCGGTGGTGGCAAGTAGGCCACCAGAGCGGACTTATGGCAGTGAGTTTGGAGGGAAGTTTCATTCCTGGCAATTTCTGCATTGTCGAGGCAGACCTAGTGCTGACTCATGGATGCTGTCGTGGAGGGGTTTGGGTTACTAATGGTGGTTGTGTCCAGTGCAGATTCAAGGAGCGGCATGGTGGCTCAGTGGTTAGCACTGCTGCCTCACAGCACCAGGGAGCTGGGTTCAATTCCACCCTCGGGCAACTGTCTGTGTGGAGTTTGCACATTCTCCCCGTGTCTGCATGGGTTTCCTCTGGGTGCTCCGGTTTCCTCCCACAATGGGTCTAGGTGGGATGCACTGAGGGTCAGTGTGGGCTTGTTATGCTGAAGGGCCTGTTTCCACACTGATGGGATTCTATGATTCTAAGGAGGCAGTGGCTGAGGTGTGTTTGGCTGTATTGATGAGGTGGGCCCAAAGCAGACTCATGGTGGCAGTAGAGTTGGGTTTTGGTCAGTGCTGTACTGGGCAGCATCTGTGGCATTGATGAGGTCCAGCGAGGACTCATAGACGGCATTGGTGGAGGCAAGATGGCACCAAAGATTGGTGACTTTCGTTCTAGAGGCAGTGACGTGGCGAAGGGGATTCATGCCTTCTCACCAGGCCCATGGCCCATGGAGCACTTAACAAGAAGGACTGTAAAGTTGGACACTTTTCCTTTACTTCTTCATTCTTTTGCCCTGTTTTGGTTTATTTTCTGTGCTTTGAGATGGCGCTGGAGAGTAACCACACTATACAACACCTTTCACTGTATTTTTGTAACAAGATACATGTGAAAATAAATAAATCAAATCAAATGTGCAAACTCCACTCAGAGTCATGCAAAGATGGGTTTTGAACCCAGGTGCCTGTTGTGTGAGATAGCAGTGCTAACCACTGAGCCATTGTACCGTCCTCAATCCATTGTTTCACAGCTGTCCATTAATGAATAAGCACAGTGAAAAATCATCAATATGATCAGATAATATGGTCAGAAAAGTACATTCAGTAATTTTTATGATGTGCAGCATAAAAATCATCACAATGAAAACAAGATTTGTTTAAATTCAGCTAAATAAATGTTAGATCAAACCAAATACTGAGAGCTTTTCCATTTATAATGGGTAAATCATTCATTGTTTACTACAGGAGTGCTCTTGAACATATATAAATATTTTCAACCTTTGATTTCAGGTTTAATGACATTTACTGCCATCTTCCTGTGGAGATGATTAACTTTGAACTGTGCTTGAACATGTCATCTCTGTTTTCATGTACAGAAACATTTATACTAGCAAAGTCAAAGTTGGTTTAGAATTTGTTGCTAATCGTTATTTTAAGGATGTAGAAGCATCAGACTATGCTTTCTTGTAATAGCTAATTTTAGTGAAAGGGCGACATCAAAGAAACATGAACAACTATTTAAAAACCAAAAGAACTGTGGATGCTGTAAATCAGGAACAAAAACAAAGTTGCTGGAAAAGCTCAGCAGGTCTGGCAGCATCTGTGAAGGAGAAAACAGAG